CTTTGAGCCCATAGTGAACCCACTTCAGCATCAGTGAGGTCGTACCTTTGTTATCAGGATTCAGGGCAGATGAGAACACATAAATGATCTGTGATCAGACACAAAGTGAAAACATTAACACAATAAAAGCAAAAGTAGCTGCATGGTTATTTTTAATTTACAAACTCCAATTTATAACTCCAATTCTGCTCCCAGAGAGCAGGGATTCTTGTTTTTGTTATTTCACTGCAGGGAATCTTCTCCTGCTCCTGCTGCAAACTCTGTCTGGTGTTTTTTTACCTTGCCTTGTTTGACTGCATGGGACACCACCTCACGGCTGCCTGTCTCCAAACCCTGGTAAGCCAAAGGCTCAAATCCCAGCTTGTTACAGTAAAACGATGCAGCCTGTTGAAGACAATCATTTTTACGCAACAGAAAAAAATGAATTGAGATGTTTTATTTCCATGTTGACCTAAAATTAAGCATGATTGCAAATGGTTGGCTTTAAACTGTCTGATAGCGTCTGAGCCTTGACTTGGTGTAATAAGTTAGAAGCGGTTAGGGTCAATATTTTAGCTGCTGTGTCCCCTCCACCCCACTGGAGAACCAATAGCATTGCTGAATGTATAGTGTTAACCTTCATCTGCAGGAGAAGTAGGTCAGGAAAAATATTACTTAACTTACCTGTTTTGCATTTCCAACCCAGAACGTTAAGTGATCGAAGCAGATTAACCTGCCCTTCTCATGCTGGAGACAAGAAATAATGGTTACATAGATCAGTCACTGATGGAAAATTTCTTTTTCAGCTTTTCTTGCTATAATTAACTCTTATACCGAAGAAAAAATTATAGCAACATTCAACTAACAAATGCTGAGCATTCAAATCTTAGTTTTAGTGCTGCAATTTTCCACTTAATGTCCATATACTCGCTAACCTCTGTGAATTCTAGTTAAACAATGATTATATTACTTACCTTTTCTCCTTTGTCTGTGTATGTTGTCTATAACAAGAAAGCACACCATAGTTATTAGAGTATAAGGAAAAGAAGTATAAAGACAAACATTCTCATTTCTTTGAACAAAGTCCAACAGGTGAATAAGGGTAATAATGAGGATAATAACAAGAAACAAGTCAAACTAAAGATTCTGGTAGCTCACCATGTTGCTCCTGGTGACCTGACCTGATTGACAGAATGAAATCCACAATGACTTTCAACGCTGAGAGGGAAGTTTTTAAAACGACGAGCGCCGGTGAGGAGGAAGGATCAGAGGAGGACGATGAAGAGAAGGGAGGAGGGGTTCTGAGGCTTATTGCACTTTTGCTGTTACACAATTATTGCTTGTGATGACTAGTACACATGATGATATACAACAGGTCGCAGCATCACTTATTCAGTTTGATGTTGAGGAATAAGATGCTTGATAAATGTCCCATTAGGGATAGATCTGTCTTGAGATGTGTGGTAGCTTTTATTTTGAAAATAAAAAAACACTGGAATGGATGTTATTTTTCATGGCTTCTGTTTAGTGCATTATAAAAAATCTTATTTATTTAGGAATGAATGTAAATGTTTTCTTCAAAACAACACGGAACCCTGTCAAAAGAGGTGTAGAATTACAGATGCATTTTTCAGGAGGAAGAAAAAGAAGAATGGCCATGTGTTAGCGTTTAGTGGTGAGAGGAGGCTCACTCATGCTGCGCTCTCATTGGCTTAGTGCTGTTGAGGCAAGTGAACCCTTGTGTGCTTAAAAATGCCCCCATCCCATCAATCCTCCCCATATTGTTTGTTTAGTATTCCTAAATGTGACTTCTTCAGCTGAGCTTAAAACGATATCCTGAAAAAGAATAAAAAGCCATCCTATAGAATATTGTTGTGAAAACATGCTTCAATCATGCAAACAGGAAAATTATCAGAAACCAAACAGATCAATAAGAGAGATGATAGCTAGGAATAAAAGAGGTCAGCTGGTGCCAAGGTGCAGCCAGCTGGGTTGGATTCAGTCACTTGAAAAACATGTTTTTATGTTAACAGAACAGGAGAAAACCTCATATCTTTCTCCTGTGTCTCAAAACAGCTGAGAGCCACATACAGTATAGTAACAACTCATCTCCCTGTATTTACAATCACAGTTTCAACATTTACTTACATTAAACTACTCATAAACCACAATGCAGGCAGGAAAACACGTTTTTTCCTTAGTCTCAACACCAGACAATAAAACACTCTGAACATGAAGGGGATTTTTTTAATCTTGTGCACACAAGTAAAGAAATTTCACCTTTTGGGACTTAAATGGCTCCGTAAATTTGTAACCGCAAAACTCAAAAACCACCAGATAAGAGATAAGAGAGGATTTCTACACACCTTATCTCTGCGCTAAACCTTAACTTTATGGTGCCAGACAACCAGAATGACCTTAGAGCTACGTGAGACGAGGCTACACCAAATTTGTGTGTGTGTGTGTGTGTGTGTGTGGACCACAAACCACAGATCCCCACTGTGACCTCCTGCAGTAACTGTCCCCTGTTTAACAGACACAGAACCAGGGACCAAACCCCTGATGACAACATCATCATTATTTTCTATCAGAGTTCACTATTTTGTGTGATCACTCTAAATATTCCATCGTAATAATTAGATCTTGATTTACATTTCTAGTGTTTCCTTTCCTTATTTATGTGTTGATTTATTTGAAAGGTTCATTAATCAAAAGAGCCGGAGTTAGCAGGTTAGCAGTTCAAGCTTTTTCATCTATTGTCCGTGGTCAGTTTTTACAAGGCAACCTAAAATAAATAGGACAAACAACTCGTCATTTAAAGACTGCAGATTTCTTGGTCTTGTGTTTCACCAACAGCTCACTAACCACTAATGAGACTTTGGAGCCCACCCCTCAGCGTCCCACTGCGACCGTCCCTGAAGATCTTTGTTTTTCATGTTTGTTACCAGACTCTCTGTTGTCACGGGCTGCAGCGACACACATGCAGACAGATGAACATTACATTGTGGATTACATTTTTACAGATGATTGCATAACAAAGGCCATTGGATAATTCAATTGTTTGATATGGAAGAAGTCGTTTGCTGTAATTTAAGTGCCCCTGGACAGAGTTCACTGTTCTTTTTCCAAAGCTGAGGCCCTTATTCCAGGATTTTATTGGTCTCATAGCTTCCAGTGCTGCTGCACAACATTGTCTTTAAACATTACCTTATGCATCGCACTGTTTTACCTTAGACTGCAAACATAAATCCCCTGAGGCTCAGTCTCTCTAAGGACAGACACCTCAGTCAATTAGGACCTTCCCCACGTCAGCACTCCTCACACTGTTGTAGTGGCTCAGCTCAAGGTACAGCTGTGAAGACGAGAAACAGCAATGAGTAAATCATCCTCCGACATGAAGCCTCAGATACTGGTGAATGGTGAACAGCAGGAGCAATGTCAGCAGGAGCAACAGCAGGACCAACAGCAGGGCACAGACGATGCTGCTGCAGAGGAGCACATTTCTTCAGGTGGTCCGAATAACGGAGGTTCAGAGAACAACCCTGCTCCAGAGAAGGAGATGCAGGTTAAGATGCAGTCTGTTCTCCAACAGGTACGTGAGCAGATTAGATCACAAGGGGGTACGAGGGCTCCAAAGAGCAGCATCCTGGAGCTGGTGCAAAGAGTCAAAGACAGAGAAGTGGAGGGAGCACAGGTTGGCAGGGAACCTGAAGGCAAGGATGTCAACAGTGAAGAGAATAGACATGCAGAGATGAATCTTAAGGAGCAGGAGCTTTGTGCAATGTTTGAACAGAAGCTTGAGGCCAGTAAAAAAGCCTTGAGGGATGAGTTTGAGCAGCAGATTTCTCAGGTGTGTAGAGAAATGCAGGCTTACACTGATAAGGCTCTGAAAGATTTAGAGTGCAAGCTGCAGAGCTGGCAGCCCCACACTCTACAGCAGACACATCCCAGAGATCAGCACGAGAGCAAAGGTGCAGACAGGACGCAGAAGCCTCCAGCTGCAGCTCCTTCGCTGCCCGCCAGGAGAGGGAGGGTCCTGACTCGGACCATGACCACCATCATCCCCAAAACGTGCGCTCCTGTCATCATGGGCCCACGTGCCAAATCAGAAACGCTGATCTACTCGAAGGGCGTGAGGTCTCGACTTCTACCCAGAGATCCGGCCTTCTCCTCACCAGGAAATAAGCCTCACCAGAGCAGCAGGCCGCTCCCCCCGACTTACCCCCAGCCACTTCACCAATGCAAAAAACCTGTCTGGGGCGAAAACAGGAAACTAAAACAAGGAAATCTTACTCATTCATGGAAGTGACCTGATGAACCACGACCGTCACATTAAAAATGTTGATAAGAGAAGCTTTGTTAACACTTATTCCCTGTGACCATTACTGTACCTGCTACACCACTGAGTAAGTTTGGAAAATGTATTTACATGTATATTTTAAAAACAATAAAAGATCTTGTGGGTTCCACTTCAACACAGTTCTGTGGCCTTATTATTGAATGAAGACCAATAGACTGTACTTATTTAGTTCTTTTCTAGTCTTATAAACCACTTGAAGCCCACTCATCCAATCATGCAGCGCTTGCTATCACACACCATTCATACACTTCCGGGCAATTTGCGGTTGTTTCCCTGCACTTACACTCAAGTCCCTTTGTGGAGGGATTTCTTTGACACCAGGAACAATTACAGCGACAGATCAACCTTCTGATGTACAGGTATATTTAAATGAAGGTTGTTGAATGTGAACTTATTCTTTAATCAGCTCAAATTAAAACTTTTACTCTTCACACTAACCAGTAATGGTAATTGTACAACCTTGCCAACAGGTGGCAGCATTTCCTTGGCCACATCCAGGTGAACAACGCCACTATTCCATCTTCTTTAAAAGAGCAATGAAGCAGTTTTATAACTTGTAGTAGTGTAAAATATTATTTTTTGGAGCTTTTAATAAAATATTGATCAAGGAAATGCAAAGAAGAATACACACACACATACACTCACCCTAACCTATGACATAATGCATTCCCTAGCCCGTACCCTAACCTAAACCTAATTCTAACCCTAACCCTAGAACCAAGTCTTCACCCTCAAACAGTCCATTGAATTTGTGAGGACCAGCCAAAATGTCCTCACAATGATGGTACTGAACCAAACTTGGCCCTCATAGCATGGACATGCGTGTGCACACACACACAATAGAGTGCATTGCCCACAGTGTCATGACCATGAATATTGAGTTTGGTAATTGTACCACTTGACCAACAGATGGCAGCAGTTGCTTTATATGGGCTCATGTTGCAACTTCATGTTCATACATTACACAGCTGACCCTGTAGAGACTGGAATGGTACACGCCATAGAGAAATGGTATATATTTGTGATGAGACCGTGTAGACAACCTGACCCATGAGGTCAACAACTTACACCAAGTTAGAAGCCAGAGGCAAAGTTAATGTGTAAAATCCACACACTGCTGCTCCCAGTGGCTGAGTAGTGAACAGCTCCCAGGAAAGCGAATGTGTAACAAGTGAATGTAAACAAGGAAGCAAAAAACATGAGCTATTTCAATCTGCACAAACACATTCTACACAATTTACACATCCACATCGCCTCCTCATGACCGATTCAAGATCGAAATTATTTTGATGAACTAAGAGATTATTGTTTTATTGATGTTGTAGTTGTTTATATAATTAACATAGAGTGCTACTACACATTTGTTTTATTGCTTTGTTTTTCCATCACCTCTTGCATTAACTTGATTAATTTGCATTGCATGTATTTTCATCTGTGAAGCACTAAGTCAACCTGTTTATGAAAAGTGCTATATAAACAAAGTTTATTATACATATATGACAACCACAAAACTCACCATGCACTGATGTGGACAGACGTTACATTACAGATGTTTTGATTTCTGATGTTTTCTCATGTCGTTTTCTACGAACACACACCCGCTACATTTCAGAATTGACATCCTCCAACATATATCCTCAAATATCAAAAGGGATCGCACCCCGATGGCAAAGGTAATTTTCATGTGAGGAAGGTGAACTGAAGCCAGTCGTTTCCCCCTGATGCAGCAGCTGAACTGGCACCGGGACCAGCCAGTCACAGGAGATGCATTTAGTCGTGAAGCAGGCATGGGAGCAGCGTGCCTCGAGGCCTGACCTTCACAATGGAAGGGATAGAGAAGGATGTGAAGAGGATCTTTGTGTCTAAAGGACGATGAGCCCTGAGCAACCATATCCGGAGGGGACAAGAGCC